CGTGAAGCAAAAAAAACAAAAAACAAACAATGCTGATGCAGAGGCAATAAATGGTTGTGGTGAGCAGCAGCCGTGGCATCGCACCCTTCCCTCATCAAACAGCACCGCACCACAACGCACCGTGACGACAACGTGCAATGACGACGATTGAGTAGCACACGCAAAACGGCATAAACCTTTCATCCCGCACTCGCTCAAATTTATGCTCTCAGTATGTACTGCCAACGACACGGGGAAGGACACGGAAGGGGACTGTCCTGTCCATCCTCCTTCTGCCCACAACAGACCCTCCCCATCCTCCTCCTCGCTGCGCCCTGGGTGCCGCAAAACGCCGTCAAGCAAAGCCACGTGTATGGAAGTCCCAATGCACAGGGCGGTGCTGGCAGCCACCCATACTCACTCTCCCACACATATCCTCTCCCACAGCTTCCCCACACACAACAAGACAAAAAAATGGAGAAGAAAAGCCTGCAGCACAACGCACGCAAGAGCACAGCTATCCACGTCACACCGCGAAAAAAAAAAAGGCCGCAACAAGAGCGACGGGTCAAATTCAAATCCACGGCGCTGCCCTTTACTTCTCTCTTCCCCGACGAATTGGCGTCTCACACTCACAGTGAGGCACGGCGCACACCATCCGCTCCCCTCCAAGTGCACTCAGCAGGCCGGGGCAGGGCGCCTAGTCACCCTCGTGCCATCGCAATGGGAGAGCAAACAATCGTCGTCGCGGACCATCGATGCCCCTAGCAAAAACAATAAGAAAAAGAAATGAGGGCATTTCAACAGCACAGCTACCAGAGAGACACTCAACGGGACAATTAAGTACTCAGCGCCAGTGAACACCGCAAAGGCAAAAAAAAAAAAAATGAACCGCAGCAATTTCCCCAAAAAAAAAAAAAAAAAAAAAAAAGGTGGGAGTCCAGAAGAAATCCCAAAAATATCATAAAAAAAGGAAAAATTGATTCGGAAAGACGTTTATCTTATGCGCCAAGGAGTACCATACAGTCATGTGTTTGTGTATGCGTATTGCCTGCAACAAGAAAAAAAAATCAAGGAAAAGACTTTACTGTTTCACTGGCAAACACAACATTCTTCACATTTCGTGCGGCATCCGCCCTGTTCTTCCAATCATCGTTTCGTGCATTCCGTGGGACGCACAGCCGCGGAGCCGGCACCGAATTTGGGCAGTAAAAAGCAAACAATAAAAGAAAACACTTCACTCATGACGGTATGTAGCAGACACCCATTAAGTAAAGAAGACAGTAAGAATGCACAGTGGTCCGTCGGCAATACGTCCGGCACAGCTCTCCGCCCTCCATCACCGTACGGTGGTAGCAGCACACACCATCCACAGAAAAGCAAAAAAAGAAAAACACGGCGGCAGGGTGTGGCTGTGTGTGTGGCGCTGCGGGTGTCTGCCCGCCCTGGCCGCAAAGAAAACAAAACAAGAGGGAAAGAAATGTGTGCTCCGCCCCACAGGCCCTCGTCGCACGCCCACACGTCACGGCTCCCTCAGCGCGCCGTTCGTCGCGGCCCCTCCTCATGCGTGCAGCAGGCGAGGCGCACAGGGCCGTCGTCATGAGCGTGTGGGTGGGTGTGCGAGTGGAGCGGTTGGGCGGGAAACACACGGCACCCCTCACAGGAAGAGTGCAGCAACAAACAATTGAAAAGAGGGAAGAGTAGAAAAGAAAAAACGTCCATAGTGATTGCCCCAAAAGCAAAAAAAAAAAAAAAAAAAGAGGAATGGCGGGGGATGAGAGAAAAGAACAAGAAAAGTAAAAAGAAAAAAAAAACAATAATGATATTTTACATCAAACGTAAAGAAAAGCTTTGTTAGAGAAATTCGTTCCTATGGGAATATTATTTCTGTGCGCGGGAGGGCGCAAGTGTCTCACGCGGCAGTCACTCACCCCTCACAGAGCCACAAACCCCCACAGTCCCAACAGAAGAAGCAGCGGCATCACCATTCCGCTCACACGCACAGTGCCGCCATCACCCGTTGCTCCTCCAACGGCATGGGAGTTCGAAGCCGCCGCCCTCTCCACACTTCCCTGCGATGTATTCGCCGGCAATTGCTGTGCAGTGGCAGGTTCCCCCACCGTTGCATTTTGCCCTGCTTTACTTTCTTGTTGAGGCTGCTGCGATGCCGCTTGAACCACTGGAGCTTCAGAAATTTTGCCTGCAATGGACGCTTCTGCATGAGATTCTTCGTTAGAAGACGCTGCTGCACGTGGTTCTTCTTCATAAGGTTCTTCTGCAGGAGGCAACGGCGGAGCAACCACAGACTCTTCTACTTCCTCCTCTTGCTTGTTTCCTTTATAATCCTCCAACGCACTCGGAATGACAAGACTGCTGCCGTTGGCGGCAATGGTGCACACCTCGCCGTACCTCGGGCACTTGATCTTTCCTTCTTGCTTAAAACCATCCAACGTCACTTGGATTTCTCCGCCATCGGGGCAATCACGCCACACGTCAGTGCTGCCGAGGTACTTCACCTTCACTGTGCCCCCATCACACAACACCTGCGCGCACACTCCCTGACGCTTTTATGGCCATCACCGTCCTTCGTCTCCAGTAATTCCGCGTCCAGGCACCACGAGCCACTGCTAGCCAGCGACCAAGGGAGATAATTTACATTTTCGTCCGAGCACGTCCTGTACGTTGTCCCAGACGATATTTCTTGAAATTCCAAAGAAACAACAGGGCAAACGTCCTTATCCGCAGGACTCCCCTTGTCTTCAACAATAGTTGCGGTGCACTTCCCGACGTGACGGCGGTCGGAGGTGCAGCGAAGCGTCTCTGTGTCTTTAGCATCGCAGAACATGTGAGGATACTTGGCGGCAAGATTATCGGTTGTATTGCACTTGTTGACCAGGAGAAGTCGCAGCCACTGCGGCTGCCCCAGCTCATCGGCTCCGCCATGCTCCAATTCACGCGGTAGTATCCCATATCCGCAAACACCGCCATCGTCAGAGCCGTGTAGTAGCCGGCACCAACTGTGGGTGCCATCAGCTCGTCTAGCGCGTGGCGTCCCTTCCAGTGAGGGATGGCTTTTTCCCGAGTGCCACCTTCGTCCTCCAGTTCCATGCCCTCGAGAGACTCACAACCAAAGTGCGCTTTCGTCTTCTCCCGAACGTGCTTCCCTGCCACCATCCTGCGGTGCTTCCCACGCACAATTTTCCTTGTAGTTTCGATGCTGTTTCCTTCAATACTATCTTTACTGAACCCAAGAGCATGCGCAATTTCGTGTGCGGCAACGCGAACGCTCCACGCCGTGTCAGTCATGTACTTTGGATCAAAGTTCATGGCGCCAATGGAGGGGCGAAGATCTCCCCATGTGTTACACGTTGCCGCCCACACAGCCATGCTTTGAGTATTTGACGGCCCAGCAGCAGCGTAAATGATAAAATCAAAATTAGGCACACCACCACTTTTGTGTTCAGTTGGAACCGTAAACCTGTCGCACGGACTTCCCATAGTCCTCGGAACTGGTATCTTCTCAGGAGTGGGTCTCACAAGTAGCCGCTCCGCGTGCAGTTTGACAGCGCCGGGGAGAATCTTTTCAGTGTACAATTGTTTCTTTTCTTCCGTCAAGACGTTTTCTTTTTTGCAGGTTATCTTTTCTCCCAAGATGTTGTCGCACTCAACCCCATCGTTTTCGCAGTACGTATTTTTCCTGTACATGCTCTTCAAACCCTCCGTGAACACCCCGATGCGGATCGGCTCCCAGCCACTGTCGTCATCCTGTGCTGCGACGGTGTACGCCTGCATTCCGCCTTGTCCCTTGTGCGGGACCTCACGTACAACCGCAGTCCGCAGTGGGCCGCTCCTCCCAATCATCTCGTCCAATCCACGGCGGTGCTGCAGAGCGGGTGCAGCGGCAATACACCCAATGGCGCAGTACATCAGCAGCAACACCAGCAATGGAAGTGGCGGCGTGGCATGGCGAGGCTGGCGCATGGCTTGAGGTAAATGCATTTCTTGCTTTCGTGTGAGCAGCAGTAGTAGCAGTGCAGCGTGGCTGCGGGAGGCGGGAGGCAAAGGAAAAAGAGAAAGAAAAGAAATAAAACAATTTATTGCCAGTGATGCGTCAGGATGCGGCACACGCAGCGGAGTAACAGGAGACCACAGAGGCGGCCATACACACCGCGTGCGCACCGACTCCATCAATGGGAGAAACCGTCAACCCGTCGTCGACTGAGCGTCCATCACCGTCGCACACATTCCTTATCGGCCGCAGCGCTCCCTGCACGCGGAGTTTTTGGTCTGCTCTCTTCGTGGTGTTGCAATATTTGTGTGACCGTCCACCAACCTGCCACCACTTGCACAGCGTCAGTTCCGGGTGCAGGATCATCGCACAGCGCTCTCTCTTTCTCTCCCAGCTGCTCATATCATATGGCATCACCGCACGGCAGCCCCATCGTGATGCGCAGCCCTGAAGCGGGGGTGCAAATATATTTTTACTCTTTCTCTCAGGATTCTCAAAAACAAGCGTAACGGCATTGCAATCGTCATGACTGTTTCTCCCCGCACTGACACTGACCGGGAGACTACTGTGAACGCACTGCGTGGGAGTCACCATTTCCGCCGTTGCTCTCTTCAGCGGCCCACGAACACACCGGCCGTTCCAACACGGTGGATATGAGCGTTGCCAAATACAGCCACAAGCACCAACACACCAACCCCCACAGTGCCCTCCGTGACCATCCGCAGCGTGCGTGCGTGCGTTCTAAGACTTCACACCACTTCACAGCGTCTGCGTTATGCCTTGTGTGCATGTGTTTGTCAGCGCCCATACTTGCAGAGCAGCTGTGCGCCACAAGAGAGTCAGAAGAAAGCAACGGCAGAGAGAGGCAGATAGCACACACGCAAATTACTCATATCATCACACAAACACACACACACACGCAGCCCGCGGAATGGGTGCTCTCAACCACAAAACAATGAAAAACAAAACAAAAAGCCGAAGCGTGGGACGACCAGCGCACACACTCTCATTGCTCCCGTAAAGCAAAACACACACACAGGGAGAGAGAGAGAGGTCGCCCACTCAATGCAATAAAAACAAACAGAAACAGTTACGGTGCTCCGCCCATGCAGCCAGGCAGGACGGCAGCGGTGCGTGTGGTGCAAAAGAGAGCACCAACGGGACTGCATGGGTGTGCATGCAATATATACAATGGGCACATTATGTGTGTGCTTCGTGGGATGAGGTGAGGGCGAGAGTCCATGCAAGGGGACACACACAGAGAGTGAGAGAGAAGGACGAGTGTGTGTGCGGGCGGTGCATGGCGCTCTCTCCCTCACTCTCACGCGGCCACCACAGCAGCAGCCGCAGCAGCACACGCAACAAAAAGAAGAAGCAAAAGAGGGGAGGTGGTGTGGGGGACCGCAGTGATGCCGTCACTGTTTTGTGCATTCGTCGTATCAGTTGTGTTGGCGGTTACTGTCGTTGCTTTTGTATCTTCCCCAGTCCCTTCTGAGCCTTTTTCTTGGTGGCTTTGTGGTGTGGCTGCAGTCGCAGGCGGTGGAACGTTTTTTTCGCCTTCACTCGTGGTGACTTCGCCATCCTGTTCGCGGGAATCAACACCGTCTTCTGGAGGTGGTGAAGGATTTCCTCCCGGAACTCCCGCAGGCACTGTGTTCTCTCCATTAACCGTTGTGAGTGTGTTCTCTGCTGCGGGTGCACTTTTGTCGGTTTCCTTCTTTTCTTCGATCTTCGTTTGCGTGGGATTGGCACTTGATTCCCGACTGCCGGGAGGAGGAATTTCCCCTGCAGATACAATTGACTGGCGTGTTTGCTGCTCGCTGCCACTTAAATTCTTTTCCCCGGAATTTTGGTCTAGTGCAATTGTTACTTCTTGATCACCCTGCCCTTCTGTTCTTGTTTTTTCGCCATCTTCCGCCCCTGCACCTTCGTCATTCTCTTCACTAACTTCTTCTTCATCTTCCTCCTCTTCCTCTTCTTCTACTTGCTCAATCCCGTCCTCTTCTTCTTCCTCCTCTTTCTTTTCCTGCTCTTCATCCTTCTTTTCACCAACATCTCCAACTTCTCGCGTTTGTTCCTTGCCTTTCTTCTCTGCATCTGCCGTTCCTGGTGCTAATTGTGTTCCAGTTCGTAGTGGCGTCTCCGCCTTCTTTTCTTCTTGCACCGATAATCCTGCTGCTTGTAAGGCCTCCAATTGACCGCTTTGGCCACCTCCTCCAGCGCCACCAATGGTCTCTTTTTCACTTTTAGGGGTATTGCGGTCTTCGGACTGAGAAGCCGGAGGAACTGGAGTTGGTTCAGAACACTCACCACCGTCGGCACCGCACCACAGCACGCAGAGGGCACACACCAGCAGCACACGGCCAGTCATCATCATCGCCATCACTCCTGTCACTTGCGTGCAGCCTTCAGCAGAAAACAAATCCCCGTCATCGCAATGCAAAAGCAAAAGGGAGAGACGCTTCACAAAGCCACGACCAGCCACGGCACAGTAACACATCTCAGCATCCCGGCGCGCACACCATGAGGCAAATAAAATCAGTGGGAGAGCAAAAAGCGCAGACACACACAGCCCCGCAGCAAGTAAACAGCAAGAAAAACACAAAAAAGTAAAAACAAAACAAGAGCAAACAAACACCAATAAATTTAACACAGTAAAAACAAGAAAGAAAAGAAACTGCACCGAATGGCTCCAGTGCGCATGCACCCATCCTCAAATGTGTGTCCACATAAACAGTTGTCTCCGTGTTGTGCATATGAGTGTGTTCGGGATGCGTGACAATTAGCGGATACAGGAAGCAGCAACATGAAGCACACATCAGGGCAGTGGAAGCAAGCAAAGCAAAGCACAATCATCATAATTACTCTTACTTTATACATCGGAACACAGTAGAGATGCACATGTCCCCGTGGCTGAGTGCTGGCACGCACAGCCAACGCTCCCTTTCAGTCCACAGCGGTGTACGCCAGCGCGGATACGGCGAGCAGCAGCGGGGCACACACCCACGCGGAGCTGCTGAGGCTGCCGTCGATTTCGCGAAGACGTGACGGTGCGCGGGTGGTCTTCGTGGTTGACGCCTCTGTAGTCGTAGTACTTGGTGCCTTTGTTGTAGTGGTGGTCGTATTTGGCATTTTCATTTTCTCTTCTGATATCTGTGCCTTATGATTCTCATCACCTCGTGTTTTTTACTGCGCCTTTTATTTTGTGCATCTGACATACCGGTCGCACCTTGCGTGTGTGTGGAGACCGAGTTGCCAAACCTGCTGGCTCTGGATTATCGCTAGCCGAATTCAGTGTCTCTGGCGGAACTCGTGTCTGTCCAGTGATGGCTGTGCCTGCTTCCTTTGGAAAGAAGGTCCTTGATTTCTCAAACCCTCCTCACTGTCTCTCCCACTCTCTGTCTGTGGCCCACCGGTCTCCCCACCATATGGCTGTAATGCACCAGGCGTATTTCTGTAGGATCCGCTTTCCCTAGTTCAGGGCTGGGAGGACGGCTGTTATCATTATTATCGTCTCCTGTCGCCGTCACGCACACGGACGAGCAGCCGCAGCACAAGAGAGCAGGCACCAACGCGGCGCAGCATCGTCACCATCGCAGTCATCATCGCCCGTAGTGGAGTCGCTGGTGTCAGTCAGCTGATCGGTGAGACGGAAAGGAAAAGAATGGAACGAGAGGGAGAGGGACGGAGCACAGCGGATACAGCGAGAGAGCGCAGACAACATGAGGAGAGGGCAGCAGGCCCAGCCGCACAGTTCACACACCACGAGACGGCATCCACGCAAGGAAGGCACACAACGCCAGCAGCCCCCCACCATGCAGGAGAAGAAGACATCCACCACCATCTCCCCCAGCTCATTCCCGCAGCCCCAGGGAAATGGCCACAACCCCGCGGCCACCACACAACGCACACGGAGCAAGCGAACCCTCATCCATCCATGACGCGGCACAAAAACTTCCTGCCATCCCACCCTCCATGGGACACGGAGCCCAACTCAGCGCAGTCACACGCGGTGCATCACACCCGCAGGAAAATAGACTCGGGCTGCGCGCTCCCTCTCTCCCTCCTCCTCATGGCCACGGAAGAAGACAACAGCCGCCACACGCAACTGCCAGCATGCACTGCAAAAGAAGCATTCAAATCCACTGCAATGTGCAACTTGTGTGTGTGTGTGGTTGTGTGTGCCTGCAGAAACACAAAGCAAAGACGTAGAAAAGAGGGAGCAGAGTATGCGGAGAGACGCACAAAAATGCACAGCGGAGACGCATAACGGAAACAACAAGAAGGCCGCTCAAACTAATGATTGGACTGCAGCCCAAGCAGTGGCAATTCACACAATATTTATTGAAAACAAAAAAACGTCCCCCTTCGTCTTATATAAACCCCATCACACAAAATAATTATAAATGAAAAAGAAATCGTCCATTACTGTTCCACACAAAATAAGAAAAAAATCCTGGCAGTCGTGTGGCCACACCAAACTGTCTGTATGTATTTTGCCCGCAAAATAAAATTAAAAAGATGGTTACGTGTGCTTCAGCCGTCTGACCCTCCATGTGTCCGCACATCGTTTATATTTCATGGGGTCATCTGCGTGTTGCTGCTCCCCTCAGCCCTTTCATCGGCGTGTGAGTGCGGCCCGCAGAGCACAGTCACTCGTGTGTGTGGGGAATGAGAGAAGCACGCAGACATGACGGGAGTCGCGTCTCTCCATCGGGAGAGTGAGCGCAGCAAAAGAAAAAGAAATCATCGGAGGGGAGAGAAATGCTCGCGAGGCCGACACCGAAGGGTGCGCCAGCGCATGAAATAAACACGCAAAGCAAAACAAATCCTTAAATAAAAACACGGCGGCAGGGTGTGGCTGTGTGTGTGTGGCGCTGCGGGTGTCTGCCCGCCCTGGCCGCAAAAACAAAACAAGAGGGAAAGAAATGTGTGCTCCGCCCCACAGGCCCTCGCCGCACGCCCACACGTCACGGCTCCCTCAGCGCGCCGTTCGTCGCGGCCCCTCCTCATGCGTGCAGCAGGCGAGGCGCACAGGGCCGTCGTCATGGGCGTGTCGGTGGGTGTGCGAGTGGAGCAGTCGGGCGGGAAACACACGGCACCCCTCACAGGAAGAGTGCAGAAGAAACAATTGAAAGAGGGAAGAGTAGAAAAGAAAAAAGTCCATAGTGATTGCTCCAAAAGCAAAAAAAAAGGGAATAAAAGAGGAATGAGGGAAATGAGAGAAAAGAAACAATAAAACGTAAAAACAAAAACAAAACGCAAAAAAAAACAGGGAATAAAATAAATGCTATTTGAGAAGGGAAATAAATTATCACGTGTATTTTTTGTGCTCGGGAGGTCGCAAGTGTCCCACGCGGCAGCCAGTCACTCCTCACAGAGCCGCAAACACCCACAGTCCCAACTGAAGAAGCAGCGATGGCAGCAGTCCGCTCCCACGCACAGTGCCGGCATCGCTGTTATTCCTCTGCGACACATTTCCGAGGCTGCTGCTGAGTGCCGCAGCCCTTACTTCGCCGTCCTGTGCATGGATGTCCTCCCGTTTCTGCCCATCCGTCCCTCCCACCGTCTCTCCATTCTCACCAGAGCGCGCACCAACCTCAGTTGTATCTGCGGGGTCAACTTGAGCCACGTTCGTAGCGGTAGGAGCGTTTGGATCTGCTGTGTCGGGGGTATCCACAGGAGTTTGGGGCGGTGTGTCTCCCTGCACCGCACCTCCAGCTTCCGCTCCCACCGTTGGATCACCATCGGATGGAGAAGCGACATCCACATTTTTGTTTCCACCGGAAGATGTTCCTAAAGGCAGCCGAATTACGGATTGCTCTTTTCCTAAGGAAGTCGTTGCAGTGGACGGTGCTGATGTGGACGTGCTGCCACCGCCCGCACCCTCATTTCCATTCAACAATTTAGGCCCCGACGGCGGTTGCCCGGCAGGAGAGGACTGCGACAGGGTTCCTTGGGCATTGTCAGATACCACAGGTGGAATGAGGACTTTATTTGGGTTGAGGGCGCCAATCTCCTCGAGAGTCAAAGGACGGTTGTACAGCAGGAGATTCGTCACGGTCACGGACACGTCTTGGATCCCTGCGCCGCCCGCACTGCGTTCGTCCCCTCCAATGTAGAAGTGCGAGATCTCGTTCGATTCCGTCACTTTCAATTCACATTGCGCATCCCCACCCACGCGCTCACCATCGACGTACGCGGAACCCTGGGTGCCGTTCCGTAGCAAAATTACGACGTGTTTTTTTTTCGCTTTCTCCCAAGTGCGGCTTTGATCCTCAGGGTTTTCGCCACCGCAAGACAACTCCCACTTACCTCCGCTGTTGTACGACAGTCCCAGGAGTACAGTCTTCCCATCGTCATTCATATTCACACCCATCAAAGGAATGCGGGTATCTCCCTCCTGCGGCGCACCGTCGATGGACACCGTCGCCACAAGAGTGAAGTTGTAGTTCGCAAAGTGGTACAGCTGATTCTCCCCCTGCCTGCCAATGGGCCACTCCGCCCACGCTCCCTGGAACTTCACACTGCCTTCATGCAATGTTGCCTTCTTACCCCCATCATCATTGTTCTTCACTGTGGCGTTCACCCCGAGGTACTCGTCCCTCCATGTGCCATCAGAGAAGTTGTCCGACAGAAAGCCAACCAGCCCATCCGTGATCTTAACAGTAGGGCTGCAGGCATTTTCAGGTGAGGTACTCTCCACAGCACTTTTAGAAGGGCACATCTTGGAGACACGGTCGTCCACTTTCTTCCACGTCGCCAGCACATCCTTCACACGCTGCAGCTGCTCAGTCAGAACCACAGACCAAAGACTGTGTGATGGTTTCTCCCCATCGTCCTTCTTCTTCTCGTAAAGTACAATAAGCTCATCCTTCTTATCTCCACTTCCAGCACCTTTGTACAACAGGGAGCTGGTGGCAACGTCCTTGTCTTCACCGGATACCGGCCCAATATCAAAAATGTGCGTATTGTCCGTCAGCCAAAGATGGAGTTCACCGTTTTCTTTTTTACCGTCCTTAATTGAATACACCGGCAGAGTAACAAGCATCACCTTTTTCTTATCATCAACACCGCCAATTGTCGCTGTGATGAACCCGCTTCTGACGGCCTTTGCGCCCTGTTTGTTGCCCCACACGCGCGAGAGTGTCCCGAGTGCCTCCGTCCACGAATCCCCCTTGTCACCGGTCTCGTACACCCTGCGGCGGCCATCATCACACGCAGTCATCATGATGAGTTTTTTGCCCTTCCACTCCACGACGGAGGGATCACTGCAGCCACCGTCAGACATCCCCTTCGATAGCATCCAACTCTTAGTGCTACTCGAGGAGGATATGATTAGTGAGACGGCCTTTTCATCGTTTTGTGCTTCACCCTTCTTCGTGCCTTCCAATGGGAACACAAGCGTGCCGTCCCCCATATGAACACCCGATCCACCGCCGCCTATCAGATGCGTCAAGCATTTGTGTTCATCAGCAGCAAAGGCGCCGACCAGTCGCTGGTTCTCATTCCATTGGATTCTTTTCTCACCGCCGCTTTCATCACTGACGTTCCCTTGCACCAGCAATAATCCCCAGTCGTCTGCTCCGCCATCCTCCTGACCAGTGGCAGCTGTCTGGCTGTATTTTCCAACAAGCATGTAAATATCATTTCCCTGCACGACCGTTGTTGGTCGGCTCACATCTATTCTCTTCTTTGGGTCTTCGGAACCGTCTTCCTCCAAAACTTGTGTCTTATCTTTCACTCCATTTAGCAGTTCCACCGGTGTGTCAGCATTATCTTTCGTGATAATTTGGGATGCAATGCCAGTAAAGCTGCCTTGACCCTCCTTCTTCTTGCACTGCGCCTCGGCAACGGCAAATATGTCACTCCCCACTTTTAGAAGGCCGGGAACACCCAACGACTCCACAGTTACACCCTCCTCATCCTTGACGTCCTTCCATTTATAATTTGGACCAGATGACTGCTCCGCAGCTTCCGCAGCACCACCAGTGTTGCAGCACATCATCACAACAATGAGGAGCAGCACCGCAGAGCAGAAGAGGTGCCGCGACATGTTGGGTCTCTGCGGCTCACTCTCTCTTCCTTCCCTCCTCCTTCCGCTGGATCCGGTCACGCGGCGACGGTTGTGTGTGCGGGGTGCCTTCACAGCAGCAACACGTGAGAGCATATAAATATGTGTGTGGGCGGTGTGTGTGTGCTGTTGGTCTTTCAGAGCCTTCGAATTTCACAGCAGCTATTAGCGTTTAGCCTTACTTCCTTTCCTTATTGTGTGTGAGAAAGAGAGAGAAAAGGAAAAAGGAGTGAAACAGTGAGCACGGCCGCCCCTCCACAATGAGTGGCATCATCATCCCCAACGCAGTCATTCCCAACAACAACAACTGAAATGCACACAGACACACGGAGCAGGAGATGGATGAACAGTGCGCCGGGAACACACAGCAACTTCCACCACCAGCAGTAAAAGCCACAGCGGGTGTGATATTCGTCACGCGTCAGCACACACCGAGAAACGCCCACACACGCTGCCGCCAGTCGTTTTACTGTTGTCTCTCCCCACAACATAACCCCGCACAGCCGGAGAATCCTCCGTCGGTGCATGTACAGCGAGAGGAACACTTCGGCACGTGTAGCTGCTGGGCAAGAATCCATGCGCACTTATCCCAGGCACCCTTAATGCCACACCACGCTAGCCAAATGCTGCACGCCAAGATAATCATGCCCTTAGCATTGAAACAAAACAAATTTCGGTGTTCTGTCATCCCTCCTCACAATGGCCTCAGAAAAATCTTGTACGTGAGTCCTCAGCGTTCACGCCGCTCCATAGCGTGTGCAGCATGGCGTGTGCCAGTGTGTTTGTCAGCTTCTATAATTGCAGAGCAGCTGTGCGGCCCAATAGAGCCAGAAGAAAGCAGCGGATAGCACACACGCAAATTACTCATATCATCACACACACACACACACACGCAGCCCGCGGAATGGGTGCTCCCAACCACAAAACAATGAAAAAGAAAACAAAAAGCCGAAGCGTGGGACGACCAGCGCACACACTCTCATTGCTCCCGTAAAGCAAAACACACACACAGGGAGAGAGAGAGAGAGGTCGCCCACTCAATGCAATAAAAAGAAAACAGAAACAGTTACGGTGCTCCGCCCATGCAGCCAGGCAGGACGGCAGCGGTGCGTGTCGTGCAAAAGAGAGCACCAACGGGCCTGCATGGGTGTGCATGCATATATACAATGGGCACATTATGTGTGTGCTTCGTGGGATGAGGTGAGGGCGAGAGTCCATGCAAGGGGACACACACACAGAGAGTGAGTGAAAGACGAGTGTGTGTGCGGGCGGTGCATGGCTCTCTCTCTCCCTCACTCTCACGCGGTCACCACCGCAGCAGCCGCACACGCAACAACAAGAAGAAGAAGAAAAAGAGGGGAGGTGCTGTGGAAGACAGCGGTGCTGCCGTCACTGTCGCCAGTCGTCGCCGTTGTGGTTTTCGTAGCTGTGGCTTCGACTGATGTTTCTTTCGGATTGGCTTCTTTATTTTCATTTTGTTTTTCTTCTGCTGTCCCTGCACCATCAGCTGCTGGATCATTGTTCGGGATGCCCTCTTCAGTGCTCTTTTCAGATTCGTTATTGTCAGCATCACCGTTTGCCGTGGGTGATGGTGGCCTGGATTCTGCATGGTCGCCAGATGGTTCATTCTGTTGATTGTCTGATATTTCGGCACCGCTGTTTGTTTGTGAATGGTTGTTTGACTCAATGCCGTCTTGGGGTTGTTGTAACTGTTGCATGATCACGGTATCTTCAGGTTTGGAATGACCGTTCGTTTCTGGCTGGTGCTGAACCTCCTGCTGGAATTCCAATTGTTATCCGTGCCTCTTCTGCTGTTTTTGTCAGTAGTGGGCGGTGGTTGTACTGTTTTGATTTCTTTCTTTTTCGTTTGACTCTCAGGTATCCCTGTGAGTGCTTTA